TTTTTTACACGGGATATTTCAAAGTTTGATTATTTCTTTTTCAATTTTATTATTATTTGATATTCTTTTTATTTAATTAGTGTTTTTCTTATTAGTTATAATCCACATAATCATCCAAGTCATTTAATTTTTAAAAGCCTCCAAATCACTCTTAATCAAGACCTTGAATCTTATAAGATCTAAAGGTTACAAAAGAGTGTAAAAATATTTGTCAAAATATTTGTCTCTTGATCCTATCTCATATATATATATATAGAGCATGCACAATAATTAATGATCATCTAGGGATTTGTAAATCATAAATTATCATTCCTTCATAATTATATGTCTGGTTTGGTAATCTTACGTTGATATGATTACGTTGGTCGATCTTGAATTCTTTTGTCCATTACCAACAGTATTGTTTAAGGAACATCAACGACAAATGAAAAACATTTATTTTTAGGTTATTCTTATTAACTGTAATAATATAAACCTTTTCATCAATTGGACCTTAGAGCTGGTTAATCATATATGTTAATGGAACATATATGTTGTTCAAATTTGAAATCTCTTACCAAATTAAAAAGAGAAGTGCTGCTAGATTGAAAGTCCGTGAGTTATTTAACCTACCTTTCACCATCATTATTACATTATGCAACATGTACATCTCCTTTTTATTTTTTGTTACAAGACATGGTTCATTTTCATGGCCAACTCCCCACAACTATATGTATGTGGCTTGACTTTGTTCGGAATGGGCAATGATTTGTGACATGTGATTATGATAGTGAGGGTGGTCCTATTCCACTTCAAGGTCACTCCCAACCTTCCCTCATTTTCTCCTGATTAATTGGCATATATCATATTTAACTAATATGTTGTGGAATGTGATTAGTGGATATGCATTGCATGGTGATAAGAAGTAATTATGATGAGAGGGAGGTAATTATGCCAAACATTGGCATTAGGTGTGATTAACCCTCTTTTCAACCTTCGTGACATGAAAAGGTTGGACATTTGGTCGGGTATATATTTACGTCAAATATTAAGAGAATCATCCTTTGTCGGTATGAAATGCTATAATTTTTTTAACATTAAGTAAGTTGAATAATAAAACTAGAAGTTATGGGCAAGTGATAATTTAAGGTTTGCCTCTTCAACTCACTGTATTTCGAATTCCAACACTCCTGTTAGTGTAGATTATTGTTTGTACTAAAAACCGATTTTTAGCTAAAAAAAGCTAAAATGATTAATATGACAACTAAACAACTTTTTACCGCAAACTCTTTATTAGAAAGAAGTTTATAGCTGAGTTGGTTAAGAACACATTCCATGCACCGAAATCCTAACTTCAACAACTAGCCAACTTTTTCTCTACCTATTAAAAAAATTGGAGTAACTTTCAACACATACGTATAAAATATATTTGTATGTGTTGGTAGTTATGGTATTACTATTAAGCTATATGATCATTTTTGTATATGTCAAGTCAAACAATATTATCATTACTTAACCCCCAATCACTCAAAGAAAAGCCAATAATCAAGCCTTGTAATTAGTGGTTACTCTACTAGTGTAGTCCACGTTGTGTGGTCCTCGACCTCTAAGTAGATACAAATTCAATCTAAAGTAAAACTCAAAATGAACTGATTTACTATTTTTAAGTATATTGTAGTTTTAATTTTTCTCCTCCTAAATTTATGTTATTCTAATATTGTCCTCCTTGAAAAACTAATGTGAATTTGAATTGTCCATTTTTTGGGAGAACTGTGCTAAAAATCAGTATGTCTATCCATTTCATCTTCTTCTGTCCTCTCTCTACTGAACATTGTTCTCTCTCTCTCCCAACATCACTCTTCTGCTCGATATCGCTCTCTCCTTTCTGGAGCTACGCAAGTTCCCCCCAAACCCCCATCCGCACCACCGGTTGGGCATTTTGCTACATGTATATATATAAATAACATCTTCTTTTTTTTTTTTTTTTTTTTTTTTGTAGCATAAAGATATTTGGAATAATGAACAGTTCAAAATTACCAATTTTTTTGATAACTCTGAACTTATGTATATAAATCAGCTTCTATGACTTCTCCTGTATGTATATATATTAAAAACATTTAAAACACCTGCAACATCTCACATGCACTTTTCTACTATGCATGAAAATATCTGACAATTTGGGCCAATTGTGAAACAAATTTTTCCCAATGTATAAACTGCTCAATAACTTCTGGCTTCAATGTCGAGCAACTTTTGCCTAGTAAGAAGGGCTCAATGACTCCGGCCACCATTTGGTTGGACTACATGTAAGATTTTAACCCACATAAATATGGGCTAAAATTGCAGCCCAAAAAAAAATGGGTCAAGGATCTGGATCCAAGATTGTAATTAAGTTAAGCTTCTTGGGCCTAGTGGGCTAGTTGGGGTCCAAATTAGGGTTGAATTTGGCCGTCATAAATGTCGTATCTAGAGTTTGAAGAGAGGAAAGAGACTTACATGCATTCCGGTATAACATCGTGCTATTTACATTAAAAATGCAATATTACATGTTAATAAAAAATGTACAGTATTGTATTATTTGTTCAGAATGTCACGGTGATGTACCGAGAGCCACAGACGGAGAAGTCATTCTCAGTTTCTCATGCCATGCTATATACGAGTCCAAAAACAAGAAAAATTAAAATTCAGGGGAAAAAGCTGTGATGGGATGTGTGAATCATGGTGCATGCATGCTGTTGTGGGTGTGTCCTTCCCCTTCCTTCTCTATCAAACTCAATTATTTAGGTCTACATTTATTAAGAAATTCAAAATACGTTTCCATTTTTCCCCGCTATATTAAGTTCACTAATTTTATTTAACACAGGAAGTGGCCTTTTATCATAGTGGTAGAAAGGTGTTGAGCCCTTATATGACGGTGTATATTCAAACTTTATCGGTAACTAATCTAATATCTAGTCTAACAAAATCTATTGTTTGACACAAAAAAAATAAAATTTTATTTCACACACTATAAACATCTTGTATTTGAACTCAATTGAACCTAATTTTCTTAATCGATAAGCAATTGTTAAGTTATGCGTTGCCTCATTTGGCAATTAAAATAAGTGATCATAGTTTGTCGGTGCAAGTCTCATCTTCAATTTGTTTGTTTAATGTTCATAATAAAAAAATACCAACTAGCTGATACTACAATTTAGTGGTGTTCATCTTTATTAGTAAATGAGAGGTCTTATGTTTGACTCACACAGATAATGAGGACGTATTATTTTTGTGTTACATTTGATATCTAGTTTGTGTCTCGCCCATTATGATGTTTAACCCAATAAATTAGAATATGACATTCTCTTCAGAGTACATTTGAATATGTTACACTAATTAATCCAAATCTAAGGGATTGGATTTGAAACCCACCGGTGCTCTATGTTGCACAGAACCTGCTCATGGGTTGGATCGTACAAATGGGGACCGAACACTATTTATAAGTGACAATATATGGTACCATATGTGTCAAAGCATGATACCATATGTGTCAAAGCATGATAATGCACTGTTGCTACCTCATTGGTCTTTCGCCTTCCACCTTTCACTTTCCAATAATTATAATACATTGTGAATGGAGGGGTCGTCGCACTCTCTATGAAAAGGACTGTCAATATCTATATATGTATATAGTCATATGGTTAAACCTAACCCTATAAATTATAACATATCTATAATTTTGATAGGGCTTTAAGACGAAGAAAGTTAAGATTTCACCGTAAAACTAATTGGTAATATGGAGAGTAACTCAACTTACTTATAAACCCATGCAAGATCCCTCCTCCCACAATGTGAGACTCATTCTCAACACGCCCCCTCATGTGTGGCAAATTTTTAAGCCCGACACGTGAACAACACAACGGAGTGACGTGGAGTACGTGTGGCTATTTGGCTTCACACATGAGATAACCTGCTTTGAGACTATGAAGAAAGTTGAGGTTCTATCATAAAATCAATTGACAATATGATGAGTAGCCCAAGTAAGGTCATTTCTCCCATCAATGTGAGACTCGTTCTCAACATAGGCTTATAACGAATTGACAGATGTACAAATCAAATTCTTTTTTGCAACAATTGAGTTGTTGATTAGGTTGATCCATGATTGGATTAGACATAAGCTATGTGCCTTGTATAAAAATTATATGGCGTAATAATCACACATGCATGAACGCGTTAAAGTGTCCTCCAGTTCATCACAAATTACACAGAAAAAAAAAAAAAAAAAAAAAAAAAAGAGAACTTTAACGAAAATCTTTCGGTACTGTTCACTTTAACGAAAAACTATATTTTTACACTAAAACGTCAATCATGATACTATTCACTTTACCTTTTATTTTGTCTTTAGGAAAACTAATGAAAAATGATTGAAAACGATGAGTTTTAACGATAAAGATAAAATAAAGGGTTAAGTAAACAGTACCATGATTGACATTTTAGTGTAAAAATGTGGTTTTTTGTTAAAATGAACAATATAGATAGCTTTTCGTTAAAGTTCCCATTTAAGTCCTTTGAAATAACCTAGCTAGCTCATCCTAGCTTGGCTTAGCCGAACCCAAATCTAGTTACTAAATTCGTGCCTAGCCCCCTAATATAAGTAATGATTAAGAGCTCATTTGGAAGTAATTTTGAGAAGACCAACATCACTTATGAGGAGAAACACATAAAAAACGTTCCTTCATAAAATCAGTTTAAGTGATTTTCCAAAAAGTTTTATAGAAAAGTGCCTCTAAACGAGCACTAATTAAGTCTAAAATTCAGGTTAGATATTAATTAGTGAAGATGAGTTTGAACTGTGGTTATGTTGTGTAAAAATCATATGTAGATGATGTGTTGTTAGAGTAAATAATTCTAGGGTTTGGTGGAGGTGCCATTCACTATTATACTTTGCGCTCACAAAGGAACAAATGGAACTTGTGGTCCTCTCTCTCTCTCTCTCTCACACACACACACACACACTTCTCTTCCTTTCTCTACACCTTTGCTGTTTGATCAATGTTTTCATTTTAGCCTACTTCTCCTTTCAATATAACATCTTCCTTCTCCTCTCATTTCTTTGCTTCTCCTTTTGTCGAAAAAATATGGAATCAGGCAGAGCTCATGGAAAGAGTACCTTGGTGAAGTACGAGGAAGAGGAAGAGGAGGAGGAGGAGGAAGAAGAAGAAGAAGAGAGTAGGAGTGGGACACCATCAATAGTGGATGGTGAGGATGAGAGGAGAGATACAGTGATGATGATGAATAGTACTGCTCCTTCTCCTACAGGGAGAAGATCTGGTGCAGGAGGGTCTACAGCAGGGCCATGTTGTAAGGTAGATAGTTGCAATGCTGATTTGAGCGATTTAAAGCAATACTACCGCCGCCACAAGGTCTGTGATGTTCATGCCAAGGCTCCGGCGGTGCTCATGGGTGGATTCCGGCAGCGTTTTTGCCAGCAGTGTAGCAGGTAACAATTTTAGAACCGTTTTTTTCAACTACCACAGTTTTGCAAATAATAACTCTTTTTTATCTATGAGTTCTTCTCTCATGTGATGCCTAATGATCAAGCAAAAAATAAATAAATGCCCTCTTTCAGAAAGCTCTTTTGCTGGGAAATGTAGGGTTTACCTTTTCCCTTAAACTCTTTTCAAAAGAAAAGGTTCCCGGGTAGTTTATACTATGAATTAAACTTGCAAGAACCCCACACCTACAGTTTCAGGCCATATCTTATGGAGAGAAAGCAATATTAGTGAGTATGCCTAGCTAAACGGTTTTCTTAATTGTTGCCTGATTACTATTCATGTAGGCACATAATTTTTTGTTAATTTCAAGCACCATTAAATATATATAAATATATATATCTAAATATGACGCAGCACGAAGCAAGAGAGATACAGATGTAAACCGTCGAAAAACAAGAATTTTGGAGTCCATCAGAGTTTGAGAGAAAGTCCAAAAGTTGTTTTGTTTAATTGACAATTGATAATCACATTGAAACAGTCAAAAGGCTTAAATAAACGGATTACAAATCCTAAAACAACTCAAGGGACTCTGGACTTTAAAATGACAATAATTCAACATTAATTGGACGACAACTCAAATGTTTAATTTTTATAACGGAAATTAAAACTATGTTTGGAGGCTGAAACAATCGCGGATGGTCAAAATCCATTGTGTGTTTAAACTGTGGCATCGTCCCTTTTTTTTAAAATGTATCATGAGCCTATATCGGAACTCGAACGCCAAATTTGCAGATTCTCATTGCATCATTTTGCCTTCCGACGGTCCATTTCCTCTTCATCAACATAAATTGTAGATACACACTAACACATATTTTTCTAAAGTGTGAGTAATTGCCTCTGTTTTTTTTAGTACATTGATATTTTTACATTAAGAAGAGGGGGAGTTCGGCTAAGCCACACAATGGGTAGCCTAATTTGGTATCGAATTTTCCATCCACGACATTCGAACGTAAGACCTCTCACTTCCAAGTAAAGAATAGTAGCACCTGACCGTAGTACTCGTGGCTAATTAACTACCTTTTTAAAAATGCGAACTGTCATCAATTTTGTTGATATTGTTGATTCTTTAACTTTATAGTTTATTTACAGACCATAAAATTGTCAATATGTCCCTAATAAACTTGACTGTGCATTTAAAAAAGTGCATTCAACTGCATTGTAGGAAAGACACTCATGAGTCATGAGTCGAATAATGAATGAATGGTGGTGAATTGACAGGTTTCACTGCCTATCGGAGTTTGATGACCGTAAAAGGAGTTGTCGCCGGCGATTAGCTGGACACAATGAGCGGCGTCGGAAAACCTCCCTACAATAACATGGACATGGAGGTGGCATTTCTAATTAATTTATTAGTTTCCACCCGGCATATGATAAGCTCTCTCTCTTCTGTCAACCCTCAGCCTTCATTATACGTATGCAACTATGCACATCACTACTTTTATCATACATTATCAATTTATCATGGTATTTTTTGTCCTAAGATCTCTCTTATTATTATTTTATGAATAACATATACATGAAATGAACCGTCACACTGTTCTTTAATATTACCAATCTAATTATGTTTAGCATGTATTTTACTTGTTGATACCAATATAACCGTAAATATGAACACATTCACTCATATTACAGCAGGTATATCTACATCATCACATTTCGGGTGTGACGGGATGGGGAGGGCTATCAAATATACCATATGAATTAGCCATGTCCAGACCTTTCTCTCTAATCTTTCAAAAAAATGTAATATCAAGAACAGAAAAACACCAACCAAAACTTCTTGGCTGCTTTGTTAGAAAAACTTGAATATCAGCTGACAGAAATTACAGTAAAACATTTGAAATCCTTGATACAAACTTTTCAACAATCATTACAAAAAAAATCTCACAACAAACCACTCCAATCTCTGATATTTTCTTGTAGAAAAAATGTTCGAGCTCCTTAAATCGAGAAAACAATGCATAGTAACACCCTTGGAGTTCATCTGAGTGAAAGAATTTTCTCTTGCTGAATGCGGTTTAAAAGTTGCCAAACAGGTTGGAAGCATTTGGTTATTGTAGAGAAATCCTTAGTCGCGCTTGATGCCTAATAGTTTTATGGCCAACTCCCAGGTGACGATTGCCGCTGCATTAGCAGGAAAAGCCCGTACAATAGTAGGTCCCAAACCAATATAGCATCCTTTCAATCCAGCCCTTCTGTAAACCTACAGAGGAAAAAAGAACAAAGGCCATTTTAAACATTTTCCGGGGGATTAGGTGGGGGATGGGGGGGGGGGAGAGAGAGAGAGAGAGAGAGAGAGAGAGAGAGAGAGAGAGAGAGAGAGGGGTGTCCTTACCGAGCTCAAGATTTGAAATGGATTTCTTGTAGCGTTCTTATCTGAAGTCGTCTGAATTATGGTTTTTGCCACGTCCAAGGGTAGAACAGCCAACCAAAACTGGAAGTAGGGTGAGAACATCAGAATTTATAAGTCTAGTGGAATAAGAATGTGAGCTTGTGTACTAGAGAACGTTAAATTGTGAAGATGCATACTGCTATACCACCAAGGCCACCACTAGCAATCCCAACTCCCACGTCAATCAAGTTTCTGTGGTCAGTTGAAGCAGATTTCAATTGTAAATGCATGTGATAGCGGACATACTCATAAACGCTGAAGAAGACCGCATTTCCAATACATTCTCTTAACAATGTTGTAAAACCTCCTCGAAAAATTCCTCTAACCTGAAAAGCATTCAATCACCTAAAATGATCATAAAAAGTTATGCTCGCCACTGTCGCCAGAAATAACAGTATTTTCTTACCCCATCATTTTTCACAGTTGTAAGGACACAATCAAGAGGATTGCCGTATCTTATAGACATTGGGACCACAGAGTCTGTGCCTTGAATTTGCATCCTACACTGGAAAAACGCAGTGTAATAAGTAAACCGTGAGAAGCAACGGAACAATCTAAAAACCATCCAATTCCTCTTACCTTCACCAGCTCCGAGGGGCATAATATAAAACTGATGACTGATCCACTAAAAGCTGCAGATGGAATTATGACTTGGGGCTGTGGACCTGCACCTTGGGCACTTCCCTTCAGGTGTCATTGCAATTCAGAAGAACGTCACATAAGAACCATAACGGATACACAATATCTTTATAGAAGTCGTATCGATAAAGTCACTAAACTGGTTCGCTATTATGCATCTAACAGAAGCCATTATCCAGATCATTACAAAATAAAATAAACAAAGATTGTCCACTTTGTTTTCGTTCAAACCTGCAGTGACTGTTTGATCTGGGAATACATGCCGAAAACAAGTGAACTTTCAAAAGCCATCCCCACAAAAGATGATGTTGCCCCTCTGTAAAGTCCCTTAATCTGTTAAGGACCCAATATCAGTCAGCACTCCTGGAAAAGATGATGCGGAAACTCAAATTCTATAACATTGGCACCCTTTCCGAAAGAAAAATGGTTCTAGATCGTTACGTTAGAGATATTCAGCTAGATAAAGTTCAGAATCATACCCGTTCAGTCCTTAGTATCCTTGCAGTGCAATGCAAACGATTCCAACGGTGGCCGCGCCGGCGATCAAGCCCGCAACGTACTCCTTGTAACCAGAGCTGTCCGCCATCCCTCTCTCTTTCTCTCTGTGTGAATTGGCTTGTGTTATTTCTGGGATTTTATCATGGTGTCCTTGTCCGTATACTCTGCGTCTCTCTGGAGTTTTGTTGAAATAGCTAAGACCAGAGAGGCAGCGGCGAGAGAGACGAGAGGCGAGTCTCTGGGTCAGGACCGCCGCATACAAAATTTTATTGGGCTGTTTGGGAAAATCGCAAATATTGTGCGATTGGTTTTGGTAAGTGCGATGTGACTCAAGACCCACTGTCCCTAAAGATAACATATACGAGCCTCAAAACTGAAAATACAGTTTTTAGCTCAACAAAATTTATCTACTCAAAGCATTTGTGAGGAGAAATTTTTTAATATGTCAAGAACATAACTTAGTACATCAAATATTATAATACAATTAATCGGAATTTTTATTTTTTTAATTTTCAACCAATTGTATGATACTTAGTACCGGATTATGTTTTTGGCATACTGAAAAATCTCTCCTTTACGAGACCAAATTAGCCCAAGAATAAGCCTTCAATAGCGTGAGACTCACTTAACAAGAAAATATTGGTAGGAAGAGGAGGACGAGGCATTTTTTTACAAGAAGCTAAAGCATTGTTGGTACTTTTCAACTGACAAGGATGCATTTTTCACAAGAAACTAAAGCATTGTTGGTACTTTTCTTCACTCTCTTACTCCTTACTGTAAATATATTTTTGTATAAAAAAAGGCCGAAAAAGAATAGCTGAAAGGTGGAAGAAGAAGACAATTGAGAAAGTTATCATACGGATTGCACAGGATCGTTGATGAATTGGTTTAAGAGCATTCACATCTATACCAAAAGCCGAGGTCATTCCCACAATATTGAACGCAAAATAGGGTAGAATTAAAATCATATGGTTTTTACTGCAAGTTGCATCAAATTCATGTTGCATATATGATATACTACAGTAGATATAAGACTGTTGTTCGGAACCGAGAACATTATCTCGCATTGCACAATGCTTTTCCTATAAATTACAAGATTCAATCCCTAATCGTGTTGTTTTACGGACGTGGATTGTCTGCCCTCCCATTTCCATACTCTCTCCATGCCCTTATATGATGTGTGGTCATGGTTAAGCCACGTTAACATTTTATATTAATTTTTTATAGAAATAATAAAACAAAAAGTAATAGGAATATAAAATGTTGATGTGACTTAAGCGTGACCACACAAACAAGAGGGCATGTGGAGAGTATGGAAATGGGAGGGCAGACAATCCACCTCCTTGTTTTACCCCTATACGTGAAGTCAGTCAAGCACAGCAAACACTAGGAGAGGTACGAAACCTGATCACAGTTTTCTACAGACGACGCCTTTCAGTTTAGTACGAGAACATTGCAGGATGCTGGCACTTCAAAACTTGCTATGAACAACATTGTTAGGAAGTTTCAGTTGGCCACACCCAGCAGTGATGAGGCAATGACCACACCCAGCAATGATGAGGCAATGGCCTACTTTTGGAATTTAATCTTTAATCTTGAAATATACAGTACATAGAATATATACATACAGATAATGATGTGGAAGGAAGAATGCGAATGGAGTTTTTCTAGACCTACATATTCCATTTGGCGACCGCAGATATATCCATCATGTACCTGCAGCTGTACTGATATTAATGTGTGATTCAATGAAAATGTGGCCACTGTTTTACACAGAAGTCGGAAGATTGTCTTTCCATAGACATGGACTCGCGTGCAACAACTACAAAAACACATGATGATGACTGACGACCCAGGTAGGGCTAGCTAGGGAATATTCTGCTGGGAGATCGATGACCTACTCACATCATAATCCCATTTCCACTAACTGATAAAATAGATGAACGCCAAACTTAATTAGTAATCAACTCATGCAGCATGTGATTCTAAAGATGCAGTAGTCAAACTACTATGCTGCCTAATAAAGTGATTCTGGGATTTAAAAAGTATTAGTTCCAAGTAAGTCGTTGGTTTCAAGCATATAATCCCATTCAGCTCGATTTTAAGCATCAGTATGTGGACTTGGTCAAAACCATTGTACTTCACATCACCTTATTTTTGCTTCAATGTGTGGCATTGATTTATATTATTATTAAAATGAAAGTTTCACGAGGAAATTCAAACTTGAGCGTAAATGGATATTCTAAACTCTAATATTTATGATACATTCAAATTTGAGAAAAGGGGATATATATACTTTGCTTTAATCAATTAGTCTAACTCTCAGATGCTCATTAATTAGAAGAATTAACCATTAAAAATGGTATACAGCTCACAAGAATGAAGATGATTAGAGAATCTAATACCATTATTATAATGTTATGATTACATTGTTTAGGATTAAGCTGGGCTGGAAGGACTAATTGCTATATATCTAGAAGTTTCAAGTGCCGCCGGTCCCGTGGGGCCTTCGGAATGTTGGGGATTAATAAGGACAATAATCAAATTGGGTGTGCCCTAAAACTATTTGATTTAATTGCTAATCTATTCATGAGAGAGAGAGAGAGAGAGAGTCCACATGTTTCACGTATGTTGGTAGACTAGATCAAATCCAACGATGCATTAATAGACATGGATTAGGGCAGCGATGTTGATGGAAGTTTCTTCCACTTTGTGAAAATGTAATTTAGTTTTTTTTTTTTTTTTTGTTAACAAATTATTTAACAAAGAATAGTATTAGTTGGTTAAATTGTTAAATATTATGAGGAAGAGAGATTTGGTTAAATTGTTAAATGTTATGAGGGAGAAGAATTGATGGTGATCAAACATGAACCCAAGTGCATGTATAGAGAAATGTAATTTAGTTGATGATTATACTTTATAGTATCAATGTTGGATAAAAAATTGTTAATTAAACGCATAATGGTAGTGAGAACCGTCAATCACTCATTCT